TGGTCACACACTTCTTAATGGTGATATTTTATCTCTTACTTTAGGATTAAGTAAATCTGGTCACACACTTCTTAATGGTGATATTTTATCTCTTACTTTAGGATTAAGTAAATCTGGTCACACACTTCTCAATGGTGATGTTTTATCTCTCACTCTAGGACTAAGCAAATGTGGTCAAACACTTTTTAATGGTGATGTTTTATCTCTTACTTTAGGATTAAGTAAATCTGGTCACACACTTCTTAATGGTGATATTTTATCTCTTACTTTAGGACTAAGCAAATCTGGTCACACACTTCTTAATGGTGATGTTTTATCTTTTTCGCATCCTTCAGCCACACATTTCTAACCAAAGATTTATAAAAATTACGTAATGATACGTCGACTAAGAATCCGCTGCTGATTATCTGTGCCAAGACTGCGTTTTGATTTATATCATGTAAGCTTCATCACAATGTTCCAGATGTTCTACAACTTTTAACACACTGAACTCTGTATGCAGTTAACGTTCCCACAAACTTTTACTAAGATTTTTATAGTAGAATTGAGTAGGGTTTGCCTTACTTCCGAATGATCAGGAAGTATCGTATTACTTCCGAATGGTCCGGAAGTAAATATATTTTCTGTGATAAACAGAACTTCCTATTGTACTTGTATGTTAATTATGTACATTTATTGCATTTCTAAAAATCCGTATTCTTTTTCGCAGATAAAATAATTTTTATTATAATAAACTGAACACGAAACTGGTATTATTCGTGCCACCATGGAAACGCCACATTTTGTAAGAAGAGAAAAAAAAAACTAAAGTAATTTAACAATACATAAACAATGTTTTGAAATAATAACTTTCATTTTTTTATAAAGTTAAAATATGGAAATAGATTGCATCTACTTTGCTTAGGTTTAACAGTTTTTTTAAAAATAAAGTATAATGTTAAATGCCTAAAATAAATGAAGCGGTGAAGGCCCTTAGGCCTAAGAAATTTAAATTATTACGGGCTACAGATTTGTTTTCTAACAATCCTTTTAGTTAATTACTTTGTCGTGTTTCATTACATTTGTTAAGCTTCAATAACTTTTGATTTACCTGTCATTATAATGATATTCAGTTTTTGTCTTTCCGTGAAATGCGCATGCTCACGCACGTTGTTTGAACTGATGTAAACCAAAGTCAGGTGTAAATATTTATTAGTATATATTTTGTACAACAACATATTAAAAGGTTATCAAAGTTTTATAACAAGTCTAACGCTAGGTCGTAGAATAACATTATAAGTACTTGTTGATAGTATTAACTACGGTAAAGTTTAACCCTAACTAGAATAAAGCAAAAACACATACTCAAGTTAGTTATTTATCTCTATCGAATATAAGCCGTACTTAATAAAGGCTTAACTAATGTTAGGCCTGAGACAAGTGGACTTGCAGATTTCGGCGTCTGCGATAAGAATTATTTTGTATTATTCTAGAAATTATGTATTTAAAGAAGTAATGTTGTAATGAAGATACTGATTTGCAGGTATATGTTAGCAGCACAGTAATGGTCAGTTTTAGTAGAGCGTGCATTACAGATAACTGCCAAGCTGGCTGCTCGACAGTCAAACTGGTAATGGTAATGAATGATTGAAACTTTTTGTGGACAGCTAGTTTTACACACTTGTGGTTTAAAATCTTCAGTGCTAAACTATGAAGATTCACAAACCACTTGACGGTGCGAAAACTTTAATCACATTCTGGTTTGTGCGTTTGATATTACGTCGCTTGTGGTTAGTGGTTGGACTGCTAATCCAACAGTTTCCTCCTTCGCAACCCCTAGTGGCAAAAACGCTCACTATTTGGTCAGATAAGAAGTTTGTGGTGGGTTCTGATGGCTAGCTGCCTTCCCTCTAGTCTGTTAGTTGAAAATTAGAGACATCTTCGCCTATATAGACCTTGTGTAGCGAAAATTCTAACAAAATAAATATAGTGTTTGAGCTTAAACATTTAGCTTTTGATATACATTTTAGATGGACTTTTCATGTCCATGGATGTTTGGCATCGATTGAAAACCTTGTGACTTGCAGCAGAGAATATATAAATCAAAACTGGCCTTTTAACCTTGAGAGGGTGAAGGATGGGCCAAACAGGTCACCACCAGGTGAAGGATGGGCCAAACAGGTCACCACCAGGTGAAGAGTTGGCCAAGCAGGTCACCACCAGGTGAAGAGTTGGCCAAGCAGGTCACCACCATTGCCAGCTGATTAGGTTCCTGTTTTAAATCCAGAGCGACTCTTTTGCAGCCTCCATACATACTTCTTTCCTCACTTTCCTCTTGGCTTTTCCACATACGCCCACCTTGCCCAGAAAACGGCGAAAGACTTAACTGAGCATTCTCTGAACCCTACATTTAATCGCGAGACAACTGGTCATCCATCCTTTATCTCTTCAAACTCCAAAATTCTTTTGGCACTTAATGATTTTGTACTCGCGTGCTACACCTATACATATTTTTTCCATGAAACCATGAACTCGATCAACATTACGTTTCTCTTCTTCTCTGACCACAACAGGGGTGGAGGAAGAAATATTGGATTGGTCAGGCAACTCAGAATAATGTGCAAAGCATGCCAGTATTAGTGGGGGTCTGGGGCAAGCCCCCCTCCAAGAAATATTGGTGCTCCGAGATTTAATTTTGTGCTAATTTACTATAATTTATTGAAAGTATTAATCATCTGCAAGCACTTATTTACGATTCACAAAAATGGGTGCTCACTGGCACTTATACTCACCATAGCTATAAGCATGTATACTTGTATATTACACGTGTAATTTGTTATACTGATTCGTACATACTACTCTAAGTATCTATTTACCTAGAAACTATTTTTGAAACACAGGTTAAAGTTTAAAAAGCCCTACAGCTACTGTGACAAAATTGGTCTGGCTGCTGCCCGATCTGCTCCGGCACACATGCACAATATGGGGTGTAAAGTCAGTAACCACGATCACCATATGTATGTCTAAATCCACCGAAAACTTTCACTTTCAGTCGCTGGTTGTTAGTAGAATACTGATTCTCACTCTATCTTTTCTTCAGGTCTGTCTATCTTCTCATAAATGCAATTGTTAAGCCTCTCTTGCGCTTCATCCTCTTATAAATTTAGTCAGAAACATAAGATCCTCGGTTACGATATAGATTCCTAAACCTGGACTGAAACCCATGGTCCCTATCTTAATTTGATTTTCAATTATTTTTATGCTTCCACTAATATTTGTCAGCCAAATTAAAAATTATTTAATTAGAACAACAACTTATTTTAATTCTCATATCACATATACTGTAACAAATATCTAAAACTTATTGTAATGTTTACAACAATTAAAAACGTTAAAATCATAAATAATATTCAACGTTAAACTGGTACACAA